ATCGGGTTTCTAAAAGCTATTTCTTCACCCCGCCCCCCGCCACCGCCACCCCCTCCCGGGTCTGCAGGGGTGGGGGGGACGAAAGAGGGGGGGACGAATAAAGGTGGCGACTGAGACCTGGCGGAATCAGAGGAGAAATGGAAAGACCCAAGAGCACCGAACAGGCTTCGCCGGCGAGTTATGGAGCGAAGCGAGCGGGTCGGTGGCGGATTTAGACCCGGACCGCGGAGCTTCTCAGTGGCTGTCCCGCGCGCGCTCGCCCTAACGCTTCATTCATTCGTTTTGTTTTAAAGGCCCTGGCGACGGATCCCCTGGCCGCCGCGCGGGAGTGAAGGGGGAGGAGAGCGCTGTCTCCGTTTAAAAGACATTTACACCGGACTGGACCAAGGCCCTAGGAAGTGTGCTCTGCAGGGAACAGCCGGGCCGCCGAGGGCGGGGAGGCGGCGCGAATGTGACCTCAGCGGCGGCCGCGCGCTCCCTCCCGCCCTCTCCCGCTCCGGGCTCGGGTTTCTAGGACTGCCTGGAGAAGTGTGTCTTGTGCAAAGCTCTGGAATGCATTTGGCTGGCTGACGAGTTGTGAGGGGCAGCATCCTGGCGGGGGGGAGTGGTGGGCTCGCCCGCCCGCCGCGTGCAGGTTTCCTCCGGAGCCCGGAAGACCTCCGCCACCCCGCCTCCCAGCGCAGGAAGGTTACCTTCCGAGCAGACCTGCCTAGGGCATGCATATGTATGCAGGGCCTGTTTCTTCGCCCTCCTCGGCCCCGTGGCTTTCAAGGCGCTTAGTGTCAGAGAGTTTATCCCCTTACCCGAGGCTTTAGAGAAGCATAGACCCAGCAGGCAGACTATTGCATGGAAATGGGTTAAGCATTGGTGGGGCAAAGGACCAGATTACGTTTACTTCGTGAAAACTGTTGATAGTAGAAACGTAATGATTTAAATATATACGCGTCATTATTGAGGAGGCCACTAGTTGGCTTGGTGGTCTAACCTCGCATCTTATTCAGTGAAATAAGATTTTTTTAAAAAAGCCATTTAGAATTGTGAGATCAGGACGACTATGAAACTCACTGGGGATTTTAACGAGTCTTTAGAAAAGGTGAAAGAAACTATTTTCATTTTCCCAGCTAAGTTGTGCTCCTTTAAAAGGAAATGGCACAAAAATAAAAAATAATAATAATAATAAAAACAAAAAAGGCAATAAAAGTAATAAAGTAAAATAAAAGGAAAAAGCACAGATGAATCTCAGCTTTATAACTCAGCCCCTTCCCTTCCAGCAATGTAAAAGGTGTCTGTATGCCATAGGTGCTTAATAAATATTTAGGAATCAACAGACTTGAATAGACTCATTTGGACCACTTCCCCCAAACCCACCAAGAGCACCTTTGGAGATATAAAAGCGAGAGAAAATCATGATCATCTCTAGGCAAGGGACCCTGAAGCTCACTGACCTAGAAGACCCAGAAATGCCAAGCAGTGCAGAAACGTTTAGGACAGGGCAGCAGCTGGCATTCTAAACCTTGTAAGCCACATAGGCTGCAATTGTATAAGATCATAATTTTGTTACAAATAAAAATATTGCTTATTGAAAAGGGCATTGAAACCTCTCTGTGTGTGTGTGTGTGTGTGTGTGTGTGTGTGTGTGTGTGTGTGTGAAATTTTCTGAACAAGCAAGCTGCAAAGACAGCAGGAGAGAAAGCCCAGGAGAAAATGGATTTGGGTGATCCCATCATCACTGGCAGGGAAAGACAAAACAGGCAGAAATGGGATTTTTGAGGTGTCTGGGAAATGTATAATACACTCACCTCAGAAAGGCTTAGAAAGAATACCTGATTCCTGGCTGAGACTCTGCCACTCACTGGTTAAATAACACACTAGTGGTGATATTAGATGAGCACTTGGCAGGGTTTAAAAAGCTTTCTGGGCAAGTTTCCTGCCCTCTCCGGGGTCTCATTCCCTCTCTCTGCTCTGGGCCTAGCTAGAAGATGTTCACTTTCCTGTCGAGGCTAGGCCAGACTGCAAAGTGACAGGAAGGACTTAAATAAGCAGTGAAAACAAAAGGCATAATTCTAATTAAGCTTCTTGGCTAAATGGAGAATCTGAAGACTGGGAAATCTGGCCAATGGTGCTAACACTATGGGATGAGAGGCCGGAGCACACACAGGGCAGGTAGATTTAGCGGGTGTTTCAGGAGTTGAATCTGACATCTGACGTCACAACTTGTCTGGGTGGAACATGCATATTCTTGCAAAGATATGTTACCATATAGTGTAATTGTGGGTGCTTTTACTTCAGGTGTCACCCCTGTCTTGCCCTCTCTACATGGCTTTCCTCCTCCATTTTACTGCCCTGGGTAGACAATGGGTGGGTTGCTGGGCAAGTACCTCCAGTGGTTGGTGCTGCTTTATAGCTCCCTGGCATCCCCTGAATCAGTTCACATCCCAAGCCTTCCTGAGAGCCAGTCCCACCCCATTCATATTCTTATTCCTTTCCTTTCCAAGAAAGAAGCTGGACAGTAGAGGAACTCCTGGCTGGCTGGCGTGCCTAGCAAAGGAGTTCCTTTCCTTTCCACAGGCACAAATGAGACTGACAGGCACCCCATTTCAAACTATTCTGATCCTTGGAAAAAAAGTTTAGGAGTTCACCAAACTATTGTGAATGAGTTTGATTCTAATCATTTGCTGGCAGGGAATATGGAATAAAATATCTCATTTGCAGTTGTTTATTTCCTGTTGTGGCTTCTATTTTCATCTTTTAGTCACTTTGGTGATAGTAATCAAACCCTAATCATGGTGCAGCCACAAGTCACAGAGACCAAAATAACTTGCAGCAGAGTTATGACAAACAAGGATGGAGTCAGCTAAAGACCTGGCTACTTAATCACTGGCCCCTGGCACCCGAAGGACTGTGGGGGCCGCCATTTGACTGACCGCTGGCTAAGCAGCTAGAGGAGAGAGGAAGCTGGAGGGAAATTGCTCCAAGGCCCCCGGTATTGAGCAGTCAGGGCCCCAGGGTGCATGAGGAAGGAGGGCAGCAGAGTGCACAGGAAATGGAGGAGAAGCAGGTAAACCGTCCACAACTGCTGGGGCGGAATTGACATGAAAGAGAACGAGGAGGACGGAAAAAGAGAACCTGAAAACCTCTCGAGGACGATAAGCAACTCTAAGCAAAAGCTTAAATAAATAAATAAATACCTCCTGTCTGGGCAAGACAGGATTC